CACACAGAGACACACACATAAACACACACACAGAGACACACACCAAACACACACACAGAGACACACACATAAACACACACACAGAGACACACACCAAACACACACACAGAGACACACACACAGAGACACACACACAGAGACACACACACAGACACACACACATAAACACACACACAGACACACACAGACACACACAAAGAGACACACACACAGAGACACACACAATAAACACACACACGAGACACACACCAAACACACACACAGAGACACACACATAAACACACACAGAGACACACACATAAACACACACATAAACACACACACAGAGACACACACATAAACACACACACATAGACACACACCAAACACAGACACACTCATAAACACACACATAGACACACACATAAACACACACATAAACACACACACAGAGACACACACATAAACACACACAAAGAGACACACACACAGAGACACACACACAGAGACACACACATAAACACACACACAGAGACACACACATACACACAGAGACACACATAAACAAACACATAAATACACACCAAACACAGAGACAGAGACACACTCATAAACACACAGACACACACACTCATAGACACACACCTTTAAATTATCCCCAAAATAACACCAATCTATTATAGCCAGAAAATGTAAAAATATATATATATGGTCTGATTTTAAAATGTTGGATGGTCCTTGAATGAAGTAGATGTGACTTAATGTAATTGTAGCTTGAAATGGTTTGTGGATAAGAGGGTTTCAAACAAATAGAGGAATACATTAATGCTGTTTTTTTAAAGTCATGATTAAGGTTACTTATCTCGTGGATAAACATAAACATTTACTGTAACTAGTTATCCTTATTTTGGAATTCCTAAGCGTTGAGTAGTTAACTATTTCACATATAAATGAAACCAATATGTGCTTAACATGTGTGAACACATGATGTTAAGCCAGTTTGATTGGATTGTCATGTTATGCAAAAGTCAGATAAAAAGTACATATGTTAGTCTAGACATAATACATACAAGTACTAATGCATAGATTGAATCTGTTGTTGCCACAAGCTTCAAACCCATAACTAACTCTTGTGTTTGACTTTGTTTCTCTCGCAGGGTGTTAAAGCACTCGGTGGACTCCACCTATGAGAATCAGGGCCCTAGCCCGGGTTATAGGATGGAGATGTCCATCTTTTACGTGGTGTACTTCGTTGTCTTCCCCTTCTTCTTCGTAAACATCTTTGTAGCTCTCATAATCATTACCTTCCAGGAACAGGGGGATAAAATGATGGAGGATTATAGTTTAGAAAAAAATGAGGTGAGGAAATATCTCTGAATGAATTCGTCTTTTAAAGCTCTTTAAAAGGTTGAGAAACAAAAGTAACTCTTCTGTCTCTCCGTTTCCTCCCTCAGAGAGCCTGTATAGATTTCGCCATCAACGCCAGACCTCTAACTCGCCATATGCCGAAAAATAAACTTAGTTGTCAGTATCGCATGTGGCAGTTTGTGGTGTCTCCGCCCTTTGAGTACAGCATCATGGCTCTGATTGCACTCAACACCATCGTCCTCATGATGAAGGTACAAGTCTGTCTCTCAGTGTATTTGCAAAAGTTTTATATTGTACATTTAACACAAAGATATACCAGAGTAGGTGTTACCACACGACAAGCATTCAACAACAATTTAATTAAGTTGCAGGTGATACTCGTAGTGAAAGCCTCGATGTTATCCCTCAGCTCTATTGAGCATTCTCGCTCATTGTTTTGCTTTTATGTCTCGTAACTTGACCCTTTAATTGACTCTTATCATCCCCTTCTCAAGCTCACACTTTCTTATGAACGCAATACAAACTACCGTAATTTTCGGACCATAAGGCGCACCTGAATATAAGCCGCAGCAGCTAAATTGAATGATGTGTACATATATAAGCCGCACTGGACTATAAGCCGCAGGTGTTTTAATGTTTAATTACCATATGTAAGGGTTCGTGCACAGAGGGGATTGTCGGGAAAGAGATGGCTGTTTGAGGAAGCTCCCATTTATTAACATTTCAACAAACAAGTTGAATATTTGCATAACGTATTCAAGTGTTAGCATTTAGTGCAATAGTAGCTACAGAACATGTGCTGTGTAAACTGTACTGTATCACATAGCGTTTCAGACACACAAACTTTTCAACTTTCAAACTTAAACGGTGCGCTCCCAGCGCACGTACCGGCAGTGATCTACAGCAGTGGTTTTCAACCAGTGGTACGGGGACAAACTGTCTCGCTCTCGTAATGTCTGTCTGTCTTGCTCTCGTTCTGTCTCTCGTACCACTCTCGGTTCCACTTTTACTTTTGCGCGCTACCTGTCTCACTCTTTTCCGGCCTCCAGCTTTTCCTGCTGGAGCCCGGCGCTTAAAGGTGGGGGGCGCGGACCGGCCATAGAGCCCATAGAGTTAAAGGTGGTGGACTGTAACCTGTAAAATCCAT